AGCCGAAGTTATTTTATCTCCGTGACCGTGGCAGAAAGTACGTCGTACAGTCTTTCGAAGCCGGCATAGGTAAGCAACTTTGCGCACTAGAAGAATGTACAGCCAGTTAATTTTACCCGGTTTATGGCTCTATTTGTAATGTATTATAATTCATAGTGTCTTTAACTTTGTTGTTAAACCTAATAGTTTCAAGGACCGAGCGATGTTCAATGTAATGATCTCAGCGATATTTCCACAGATCGCAGTGGGTTCTAACTGATGTCAAGGTTGTTTTCATCAACATAACTGTTTTACAGGTTTGCAAAATCAACTTCTCTCCAACTTTTGAAAGTTCCGTTGCCTGAGGGGTCATTGGACAAGCCTGTGCATGTTTCCAAAGCGAAAGCCGCAAGTTTTCATAGTACGCTTCGACCACCCGTAAATAACACTTTGACTGTTTCTTGGCACAACAAATATTCTATTGCTTGTTGAAAGACCAATCCAAATTAGATAGGAAAAGACAACCCTTTAACTCAACATTACGTCAATAGTCTCCATGTAATTACCAGGTGTGACCATGAATAACATATAATGAGGTCGTAGAAGCCAAAAAATTCAGGACAGTAATAACGTTAATAGCGATCTCATCGATCAAAAGATTTCGCGAATGCTTTTATCCACCAAGTTCTAACTGTCTCTGGGAATTCCTTTGACAAAAAAACTTTATTGTGTCTGTATGCCTCCACAGAATCGCTGATTTTCGAAAAATTGCTTCCGAACTTGCAACGACGTGTAGCAATCAAATCAACTTACCTGTAACACTTTCGACAATTATGCGTAATCTGATATTGTCTTTTGAATTAGATTTAAAATAATTGCTATTCAAAGTCAGTATTACAGCATATAATAACTAAGTTTCATTGCGATCAGTATGGGGCGCAAAAAGAAAAGGATCTCACGTTGATTTCGTTCTTTTACAAATGATCATTGCCCGTTAGTAGTCAGTTAACTTTTGATTTCTGGTTAACAAAGATCCCGATTTCACAAAATCGCGTACGTTACAGCATATAATTGGTGACTTTGTTTTTCATTTCAGTTAAGCCTAAAAACAACAGAAATACAAGATACCTAATATTTAACAGTATCAAATCTACAAATACTGGTTTTGAAAGAAAAACTACGAGTAACATATACAATCATATCAGTAAACAAATTCCATAATTTATGCTCCCACCATTGAAATTTGATAAGACTGCGTGTCCATTCACGGCGCATAATAAAACAGACTTCGGCACACTGTTACAATCCACCTGTGCTGTATAGCGTTAGCAGATTGGGAATTATTTTTCTAAAACTGAGTTAGGCCATAGCTTTTAAAAAAACTAATTTAGAGGATACAATTGAAAGGATTTCTTTGTAATCTTAGGTTGTTGGAATAGTAGACTGGTGAACAAAGAACCAATGTAAATG